CCCTGGCGCTTCAGGACGATGCTCTAAGCAACTGAACCACCCCGGCCAAGGCGGCTGGTGCCTCTTTCCCCAAGATAGCAATTTCTTTTTTATTTTTAATTATTTTAATCCTCACCTGAGAATATTTTTCCATACACGCACCCCGACTAGGGTCCCTGGTCGCCGCCAGGGAGGAGCCTGCAACCTAAGTACATGCCTTGACTGGAATCGAACCCAGGACGCTTTGGTCCACAGGCCGAGGCTCTATCCACTGAGCCAAACAGGCTAGGGCAGCAGTTTCTATTCTGAGGTTGGTTCCCAGGACCGGGTGACTGTTGGAAACCTCTCCCTGCATAGTCTGCTCCACCGTGACACCATTTGTCACCTGGAGGAATCGGCAGTTTTTTATCTCCTTTGCCCACATCTTACCCTCTGGGTTATTTCCTCTGGTCCTTTTCTCCCTGGAATAATCCCATTCACACCCCAGGGCTTTGCTTGTCGTTGTTAGATTTATGTTTATGGAGTTCTTTAAATGTGCTAGGCTTTGGGCCAAACACTGGGTTTTAAGGATTCTAGTGGCCCATGATTGTATTAAAAATAATAGGTGGCATTCTGAAATGCTTACTGCACAGGAGGCACTGTTCTAAGAATTTTACATGAATTAATGTATTTAATCCTCAATACATGCTTACGAGCGCTCTCGGAGAAGTTGCCCGGCCTCATTAAGGAGCACTAACACTGTTATCAATCGTATTTCACAGAGACCGTCCTGAGGCACCAAAAGGTGGTTACAGAACGTGTGCAAGACTGCACAATGTGGAAATAAGTGAAAACAAGCAAGGATATTTATTCAGAGTGAGAGCATCAATCACCGTCACTTGCATTCTGGCAGACTCCAAGGCAGGCAGAAGGGTTTTATAGTGGCAAAAAGGTACAGTTTTATTTTTTGTTGTTGTTTTCTTCAATATTTTTATTGATTTCAGAGAGGAAGGGCAAAGGAGAGAGATAGTATCATCAATGATGAGAGAGAATCGTTGATTGGCTGCCTCCTACACGCCCCCTACTGGGGATTAAGCCTGCAACCTGGGCATGTGCTCTTGACCAGAATTAAACCCTGGACCCTTTAGTCCATAGGCCCATGCTCTATCCGCTGAGCCAAACCAGCCAGAGCTTGGCTTTCTCTTAATCTTAAATTGGAACCAGGGACAAAAATTAGGCAAGCTGTCAGTTTCTAATCAAGTCCTGGCCCTGGCACTGTTACAGGGATCATCATTTCATTCATCCACCCACCCCCGTCCCTTCTCTGTACCTGTGTTTGTTTCTGTGTTCATTTGTTTTGTTTTTTAATATATCATTGATTTTTTACAGAGAGGAAGGGAGAGGAATAGAGAGTTAGAAACATCGATGAGAGAGAAACATTGATCAGCTGCCTTCTGCACATCTCCTACTGGGGATGTGCCCGCATCCAAGGTACATGCCCTTGACCGGAATCGAACCTGGGACCCTTCAGTCCACAGTCTGACGCTCTATCCACTGAGCCAAACTGGTCAGGGCTCACTTGTTTTTTGTTCACAGGTTATCTCTCAGACAAAAAGATTATAGGAGCACAGGAACCTCCTCTTTTCTATTCATCAGCAACTAAGGTTTATTTGCTGGAATGGCTCACAGAACTCAGAAATGTTTTCCTCACTAGATTCCTGTGCTCTGCCTGTTCATCTGTCCTTCCCACTAACCCCTGGCAACCACTCATCTTTCTACTGTCCCCATAGTTTTGCCTTTCCCAGAATGTCATGTAGTTGGAATCATCATATGTAGCCTTTTCAGATTGTTTTTTTTTTCACTTAGTAGTATGCACTGAAGGTTCCTCCATGTCTTATCCTGGCTCAGGCTCATTTCTTTTTAGTGCTGAATACTATTCCATTTACTAACTGAAGGACATCTTGGTTGCTTGCAAAGTTTGGCAATTATAAACAAAGCTGCTATAAGCCTGGGTGCACATCTTTGTGGGGTCTTAAGTTTTCACTCCTTTGGGTGAAATTTAGAGAGTAATTTAGTTTTGCCATAGACTGCCAAACTGTCTTCCAAAGTGACTATAGCATTTGCATTCCTAGCAGCAATGAATGAAGAGTTCCCGTTGCTCCACATCCATACCAGCGCTTGGTGGTGTCAGTGTTCTATCTTTTGGCCATGCTAACAGGTGTGTAGTGGTTTGTCATTGTTAATTTACATTTCCACAATGACATATGATGTGGTGCATGTTATATGCTTACTTGCCATCTCTATCTCTCTATCTTCTTCCATGAGGTGTCAAGGTTTGGGGCCCATTTTATTTTCAATCCTCACCCAAGGAGTGAGGATATTTTTTCCATTGATTTCTAGAGACAGTGGAAGGGAGTGGGGAGGGGGAGAGAAACATAGGTGTGAGAGAGACACACCAACTGGCTACCTCCCATACAAGCCCCAAGGGGAGGTGAGTAGAGACTGAACCTACAACACAGATACTTGCCCTTGGACTGGGACTCGAACGTGAAACCCTCTGGTGTGCAGGCTGAGGCTCTAACCACTGAGCTACTGGCCAGGGCTTGGGACCATTTTTTACTCATGTTCTTTGTTTTCTTATTATTGAGTTTTAAGAGTTCTTTGTGTATTTTGGACAATAGTCTTCTATCAGATGTGTCTTTTGCAATATTTTCTCAAAGTTTTTAATTTTAATGAAGTCTAGCTTACCAATTCTGTCTCATTGATCGTGCCTTTGGTGTTGCATTAAATGTCACTGCCAAACCCTAGGTCATTAGGTTATCTCCTAAAAGTTTTATGGTTTTGATTTTATATTTAGACCTATGATGCATTTTGAGTAAAATTTTTTTGTCAGGGGTGTAAGGTATGTGTCTAGATTTTTTTGTGGCCTGTTGGTGTTCTCACAAGTTTTTAATAGAGGAACTTTTGAGAAGGAAGATTCAGGACATAGATACTGAGACTTATATGTCGTTGTAGAGAGAAGAGAGAGGTTGGATAACATATTTACAAGCCAATTACCAAAGAGACACAAAGAATAGTGTTAACCAGGAAAGGGTTAGTCCCGTTTCAAATTAATCCAAACTTATAGTAAATTGAGATCTTATCAAGTTGGTTTACCAAGAGGTCAATAAAGAAAGAAGTTGGGCCCTAACCTGTTTGGCTCAGTGGATAGAGCGTCGGCCTGCAGACTAAAGGGTCCTAGGTTCGATTCCAGTCAAGGGCATGTACCTGGGTTGTGGGCACATCCCTGGCAGGGAGTGTGCAGGAGGCAGCTGATCAATGTTTCTCTCTCATCGATGTTTCTAACTCTTTATTCCTCTCCCTTCCTCTCTGTAAAACATCAATAAAATATATTAGGAAAAAAAAGAAAGAAGTTGGGGTAGAAATTGAGGAAATAGAGGTAGAAACTTTAAGCTCCAGGATTTTTACCGAGTGTATTACAGTCATAAGAGCTATATGACAAAACAAGACTACAGATTGTTTCAATATATGTATAAATATTGGAAGTCAGTACTGAAAATGTTCTAGCAATTTAAGCAGAAAGATATAGAGATCATTTTATAAATGCCTATTTTATACCTATGTGTTTTAGCTTTTGTAAAAAATTGTGGAATATGACACATATTTAAAAAGGATCTAGCCCTAGCCAGTTTGGCTCAGTGGATAAAGCCAGCAGACTAAAGGGTCTGGGGTTTATTTTCGGTCAAGGGCATATGCCCGTGTTGCGGGCTCCACCCCCAGTAGGGGGTGTGCAAGAGGCAGCCAATCAATGATTCTCATCACTGATCTCTCTCTCTCTCTCTCTCTCTCCCTCTCCCTCTCCCTTCCTCTCTGAAATCAATAAAAATATATTTAAAAAATAATAATAAAGGAGCTAGAATATAAATGTATGCTATCCCAGAAGACCCAAGAGCATTTCCTGACATTCTCCTCCCCTTTCTAAATCCATGTTCTGAAACAACATTCACCTCCTTCTTCTCTTCAAGCATTAATTTTATTTACATACTAGAGGCCCAGCACACAAAAATCATGCATGGGGCGGGGGCGGGGGGGGGGGGTGCACACAATTTGTGAACGTTGAGGGGGGGGGGGGCATCCCTCAGCCCGGCCTATGCCCTCTCACAATCCAGGACCCCTTGGGGGATGTCGGGCCTAAACCAGCAGTCAGACATCCCTCTCGCAATCCAGGACGCTGTATGCACCAGTGACCATACTTTTCATACAGGTGAAAGGCATCTTGCTGTTGTATGGGCAGCTACATTTTTTTGCCCTGATTATAAAAAGTAGTACATAACATGATCCTTCTGAAATAATAGTAGTACCATTTTCCCCATCTTATGGGTAGAAAAACTGAAGCAGAGAGAAGTAATTGGCTTTGTCACACAGTTATAAGTGTCAGAATCAGGGCTGACCACAAAATGTGCAAGCCAGAGTCCATGCATGTCATCACTGCATCATCCTGTTTTTTCAGTGTTAGAGTAGCTTTGCCAGGTTTCAATTTTTAAATCTAAGAGACTGTTCCCAATATATAGGGTAGGGTCCCTAGGCCTGGCTGGTGATCAGGGCCATCTGTGGGGTGACTGGTGGGTGGGGCGCCCACTGGCCAGCGCCCCCCCCCCCCCATTGCCACTGCTGCCAGTTGCCTCCCTCTGGGGTGGGGAGGTAGTCACTCAATTCAGGAGCTTCCCCTGGTGGTCAGTGCACATCATAACGACTAGTCGTTCTGCCGTTTGGTCAATTTGCATATTGGGGTTTTATTATATAGGATGCATGTGAAATGTTTCATTAAAATATTTTCAAAAGGAAGTTTAACACAGTGGAAATAGCTCAGACTTTGTTCAGAGTCAGAAAGACCAGGTTTTAAAACCCAGCCCTGTTACTTACTAGCTGTGTGCCTTTGGGCAAGTCATTTCCCCTCCTCCAGACTTTTGCTCATGTAAAAGCAGATGCAAATGGCCACACTTCCCAGGACTGTCCTAAGGATCCAAATCACAAACTCCACATTTATTCAACAAGTTTATTGAGATCTCTTGGGACCTGAGCCCTGTAGAAAACAGAGATGAATCAAACCGAGTCTTCACTCTCAAGAAGCTCACAGTTTGGAAATAAGTAACTACAAAAACAACACAGCCAGTAAGTGCTTTGAAACATGGAGGGACACAAGGAGGATGTAGTGTTTATAAATCTGGAATCAAAAACTAGCCGTAGGCAGAGGTAGGAAGGTGTTCTAGTCTCCCACACAGAGATGAACTTGGGACCATGTAGAAAGGCTCTCGCCCCAGACACAGCCACGCCCTGTAAGTCTCTGGAGTTCACTGCAGGCTGGCCCACTGCAGGGAGGTGTAGACCACCTTACCATCAGGCTGCGGAGAACAGAGGAGCAGCGTCTTTCTGACGCTGGTTCCCAGGCGGCCGGCAGACACCAGGTCCTGGAGTGGGATGGGGTCCCCAGGAGCCCAGCACTGGGCGATGTAGTGGGCATGGAAGCGGAGCGGGTCACCTGGGTGAGGAAGAGAGGCATGCAGCGGTTTCCAGTGGGAGACACCGGACTGCCTGCCGACAGGAGGCAGGGAATCCTTTTAGCAAACACTTTTTTTTTTTATCCTCACCTGAGGCTATTTTTTCCATTGCTTTTCAGAAGGAGTGGAGGGGGGGGGGGGCCTCCAACACACACCCCAACCTGGGGATTGAACCCAAAACCCAGTACTTGTCCTCGAGACCCTTTGGTGTGCAGCTGATGCTCTAACCACTGAGAAACACCAGCTAGGGCCACTGTGAGTATTTTTATTATCTTTTTTTTAAAAAAATATCTTATTGATTTTTTTACAGAGAGGAAGGGAGAGGGATAGAGAGTTAGAAACATCAATGAGAGAGAAACATCAATCAGCTGCCTCCTGCACACTCCCTACTGGGATGTGCCCACAACCAAGGTACATGCCTTGACCGGAATCGAACCTGGGACCCTTCAGTCCACAGGCTGACGCTCTAGCCACTGAGCCAAACCGGTTAGGGCCACTGTGAGTATTTTTAAAATAGATACCCTTAGCCCTGGCTGGTGTGGCTCAGTTGGCTGGAGCATAATCCCATATATCAAAAGGTGGAGGGTTTGATTCCAGTCAGGGCACATATGGGGGGCAGCAGATCAATGTTTCTCTCTCATTGATGTGTTTGTTTGTTTTTGTTTTTCTTTTGTTAATGCTCACCAGGAGATATTTTTCCATTGATTTTTTTAGGGAGAGTGGAAGAGAGAGGGAGACAGTGAGAAACATCGGTGTCAATTGGTTGCCTCCTGCATGGGAGGAGCCTGCAACCAAGGTACGTGCCCTTGACCGGAATCCTTCAGTCTGCAGGCCTACGCTCTATCCACTGAGCCAAACCGGCTTGGGCTGTTTGTTTCTTCTCTCTCACTCTCTCTCTCTCTTTCCCTTCCTCTCTCTAAAATAAATTTTAAAGATTAAAAAATAACACCCTGGCTGGTGTGTTCAATGGTTAGAGCACTGGCCTGTGCACCACTAAAGAGTCTCAGGTTCAATTACCTGGCAAGGGCACATACCTGGTTGCAGGTTTGATCCCCAACCCTGGTCAGGGTGCATGCGGGAGGCAACCAATCAATGTCTCTCTCACAGTGATTTCTTTGTTTCTCTCTTTCTCTGTCTCTGTCTCACCCCTCACTCCTTCCCACTCTCTCTAAAATAAAAAAATCAGCCCTAGCTGGTTTGACTCGGTGGATAGAGTGTCAGCCCACAGACTGAAGAATCCTGGATTCAATTCCAGTCGAGGGCACATACCTTGGTTGCAGGCTCAATCCCTGGCCCCAGTGATACTCTCTCCCCCACCCTTCCACTCCCTCTAAAAATCAATGGAAAAATATCCTCGGGTGAGGATTAACAAAAAAATAATAAATGATTAAAAAATTATTAAAAAGCCACAAATATCCTTAGACTCAGGTATTCATCTTCTCGAAAAGTATAGAAGTACAGCTGAGGGAGGAGAGGGTCCTAATATATGTGATGGCAGAAGATTTGACTTGGGTGGTGGGCACACGGTGAAATATAGATCTTGTAACATAGAAACCATACCTGAGACCTATGTGATCATGTCAACCAATGTCACCCCAGTAAGTTTAATTAAAATGAAAAATAAAAAGTACAGCGGCACTAAAATCTACCTACGTACATCACCTAGTGCTAAGACTCTCCCCTCAGCTGCGGAAGACTTAGTGGACAGTCTCCAATCAATAGCTGAGCTCTGACTACTTTATCAGAAAGTTATATATCTTTTCATGTTCTTAGGGGGAACAAAAAGGGTGATATTTTGCAGACTTATTTCTTTAACTTTTTATTTATTTTTTAATATTTTCATTTATTGATTGATTTGAGAGAGAGAGATTAAGATTTGTTGTCCTTCTTATTTATGCATTGATTGATTGATTGATTGATTGATTCTTGTATGTACCCTGACCCCAAAAACCTTGGAGTATTGGGACAGTGCTCTAACCAACTGAACTACACAGCCAGGGCCTAATTTTTTTAAATTTTTAGTTAAATAATAGAGGTACCCTTACTACAAACTCAAAAATTAAGTGATTCATCAAGTCCCTTTACCTATACCTGATGCAAATTCCCTTCCAGAGGTAACCACTGTAGTTGGGCTGGAGTACATCCTTTCATGCCTTTTCTACTTTCTTGAAAGGATTCTTAGTCTATTTGGTGCTCCATTTTATTCTAAGTTATTTTCATAGTCTTTCACTAGAGCCACAATCTTTACAGCTACTTAAATAATGTGTATATAACTGTATAACAATATAAAACGTGAATTACTTTTTACTAAACATGTTTTCTATAAGCTATTCCTTTTTTCTCTCTTTGGTCATTTTTATTGATTTTTTTTTTTTTTTTTTTTTACAGAGAGAGGCATCGACCTGTCATTCCACACATCCATGTATTCATTGGTTGACTCATGTTATGTGCCCTGATCCCGGATCAAACCCACAACCATAGCTCATTGGGAGGATGCTCCAACCAGCTGAGCCTCCAGGCCAGCGCACTCCCTTTAGTCATTTTTACAATAAATATACATGGACCTATATCAGTCTGACAACTAATGGTGCTTCTCTGACAGCTACCAGTGATGTTTAACCACTAGCTTATTAATCATCATCCTGATTATTATCTAACTTTTGAATACTGTAAAAAAATCCTGCAATTAATATTTCTTATATGTTTGATATACCTATCTAAGTATTTTTAAGTGAAACTTCTAGATGAAAGTATTAATAAAATTTACTATCCTGTCCTCCAAATAAGCTTGGGGGTCCCAATTGTCTCCTGTCCTTCCATGTGTTTCAGACGCTGAGAAAATGAGACCAAAAAAAAGAAAAATGCAGAATTGTGGTGGGCCTGTGAAGAAAGGGCCAGCAACCAGAGGCCCCGGGCCAAACTCACCAGGATAGACCAGGAAGTCGCCCCCGAACTTGCCAGCCGCGCTGAGGAAGAAGCCTCGCTCCCACAGGTCTCTGTAGATGCTGTAGCGCAGCTCATGGGCCGGGCGGCCGGCGTGGGGCCAGTCCTTGGACTGCACCCTCCAGTCCAGGGGCCTGGCCTTGATGGGTCGAGGCCTAGCCGTGGCCAGCTGGACGAGCAGGGCAGACCTGGGCAAGGGGGC